GGATGTGGTTGAGTCATGATTGTGATTGAATCATGATTGTGGTTGAATCATGTCTGTGGTTGAATTATGATTGTGGTTGAATCATGGCTGTGGTTAAATCATGATTGTTGTTGAATCATGATTGTGGTTGAACCATGGCTGTGGTTAAATCATGGTTATGATAGAAACCTGATTGTGGTTGAGTCATGATTGTGATTGTGGTTGAGTCATGATTGTGATTGAATCATTGTTGTAGTTGGCTCATGATTGTGGTTGATTCATGATTGTGGTTGATTCATGATTGCGGTTGATTCATGATTGAATTGTGATTGTATTTGATTGTTTTGAGACGAGTCTCTATGAAAGCAATGGCCAAAGTCACAGATTTGAGGTAGAGTTATGTTTGTGGTTAATTTTCGATTATGATTGACATTGAATCATGAAGTAGGTTGAATCATTTTGATTTTTAAGGAATTTAAATGTGGGTTGTATACCAGTCATGTATGAGCAGTGAAACTATTGACTTTCAGACCTTTGGATATAGGTCCAGTGTGACTCAACGACTCTGATATTATAAAGACATTGAACAAAACTATTTATTTTTTTTTAATGCACTCAAATTGTAATATATATTGTTATCACCACCAATGTCTGTCTGTCTGTCCATACACTTGTGCTTGGCAGAGTTAAAATTGAATGTTAAAGTCACAGTTTCGCCATCCATTTTACCAATTATACTTAGTCTCTGCAAGGGAACTTTTTAGCCAAGTTAATGAGTAATAGTGTTCACAGCTCAGCATCGAAATTTGAGTCTTCAAACCCATGTGCGTTTGGAATTATCCGCGTTTGAAAGTTATAATTACCAGTCATTTCTTGAGACTATGTCAAATACAGAAAAAACATGTAGAAATAGAAAGAGAATTTCCTAATTAGAGGTTTTCTACATTTCTAATACTTCTGAAGATTATTTACATATTATATTCAAGACAGAAAATGGCGAATCTGTCCCTTTAAGATGAAATCAATTTGAAAATCAATTTGTTCTGGAAATAATTATTACTCAATAAATTTCATAAAACAAGTATCACTCTCTCTTCTGACAGAAAACAAAGAAAGGGAATCAATAGAATTTTGCGATGACCAAACAATTTAAACTTGGTTTAATGTTATGTCTATTCTAAGAGATATAGTATAACTTTAACAAAAAAAAACAGAAAAGAAAAAAGAACGAATTTTAATAATTTGATTTTCAAGTTATTTTGAAGCTGGGGCATTCACCCTGTTTAATATCACCCTAACTCCAAACCAGCAATATTCATATGGCCCAGTACAGGTTTGAAATACACTGCTCTTGTCAGATGAAGATTGTAATTAAATATTGTAAAAAAAATCTCCGGACTTTTTATCATCAATTTCACTGTTAATATTATTACTACATTGTATTACTATATATAGAGTTATAATTTCATTTCTTATCCCGCTCCTTTATTATTGGTAAATTATATATTTTTTAAAGATGGGTTCTTTTATTTTCATTTATAAAAATAAAAATGCTAAAAACTTATATGAATAGAAAGTAGAGGTGTTCCAATGACTTGGAAAATTACCAGTTTGTCTCACATGTCCATAATTTATTCATAATTATAGCAAAATTAGAAGATAATTTCCAGCAGAATTCCAATGAGTGACCGATCAAGAAAGGTCAAAAAGTCTTTTTTGTTTATCCAGACTGTACATACATGGACATTTATGATTGGTTAAAACTCTTAATTACATACAATATAAGAAAAATTATGATATGATCATGATATAATCAAATAGTTTGCTTAATTTGACACTAAAAGATAAGGAAACCCATCTTTAAATGTTTTGAGCACAGTTATATTAGTCGCTTTATTAAGGTTTGAAATAAGCTGCATCGAGGTCTGATATATGTAATATTAAAAGTGTTCACAATTCAGAATAATTAGGCCTAGTTCATAAATCGATCTTCTGTCGTATTTAAAATGTTCATTTGCCACGTGAAAAGTTCGAAGTTTGATATAATAATAAGATATTTTTGTTAGAACTACATATATATACTGTATGAATCAATTGAGATCTGAATGATTTGGGTCAACATATGAACTAGGACTAAGAAATCTTGCAAAATATACAGAAGTCAAGCGTACTTTGTTTATATATTTTAAAGAAATATCATTATTATTTAAATATTTGTTTTTCCAACTGTGAAAGCTCTATTTCAGCTATTTGTTGTTTCATTAATGCTAAAGTACCGTATACGTTCTAATTGAAGTCCCTGCCCTAATAAACGCCCCCCCCCCATTCTTTCTGTTCCAAGGGAAATCTTTTTACTCCAGTTATAATATACTAAACAATAAATCCTGTCAGATGACAACTAGCGGTTATGAATTAATACTATGTAGGTAGGGATGGGAAATCGGTTAAAAAATCATGATTGATTAATCTATCAATTGAAAACTGTTTGATCCTGTTTACCATTGGACTGAAAAAATGCAGCGACCCAAGCTTCAATTAGAGTGAATACGATATTTAATTCTTAAATTACAGAAGAACCAGACACCAACTTTTGATTTCTAAAAGTGATAGGCAAAGTATAGTAAAATAGACTTATAGTTAAAACAAGACAACTGTATGACTTCAACTAATACTCATTTTATTTGCTCACTAAATGGAAACTGCTATTTTTTGGCTTGTTTGTCCATATATATGTACAATTATTTTTAATGGTGATGTTCACTTATATTTTAGACGAGAATTCAGATTGACTTATGTGTTTTCCACGGGACGATTTTGTTCATGCAAAGTGATTTTTTTCGTACAGGCGCATGCGTATTGATAAGAATTTTGAGTATTTGCAGCAAGAAAAAAGTCGAAGAGATCACAAAAGGTGTTCCAATCACATGCTAGAACTCGGCTAAGAACATCAACGTCATGATCAAAATTAAAATATCGATAACTTCGATCTTAGATGACAGTGGAAATGAAAATTCGCTAAGCTTAAACCATAAGACGAACATTTTTGCTATGCGCAACAAAAAATCACCCTGTTAAAAACTGCTTCTAGGGAATATTAAGTTTTTTTTATAATCATGGAAGATTATTTTTAAATGAAGGAAAATGTTTCTAAATTTTATTTGTTTTTATTCAAATTTTTAAATTCAAGTAAAGAAATGTTCAGCAATTTTCAGTGTTTATATTTAGTTCTATATTTATGATACATGTTTTAACTTTATTAATGATAATTTTTTTTTCTTTATTATATTTTTTCCACATCCATCATTAAAGTAATTTTTCTATAAATTTTGTTGTTTGATTTAGAACACATCTCAATGGTCCAATAAAAGGGGCGTCACTCTAGACCGAGACCTGTGATATTATATACGACAAAGAACTAGGATTCAAACAGCATGTACCTGAACAATTAATTTCCCCTTGTATACATAGCAAATTTTAATCATGGATACTGAAGTTGCTCTTCGTGTTAAACTCCTAACAGACAAAATGGATCAGACATTGGCAATATCTGAAAAGGTTGACTCATCTCCCGACGGCTCCCAGTCCAGAGTTCAGGCCTATTCCGGTGATAATGTTCCAAATCATCACCACCGGCAGACAAATTCTTTCAGGCCTCGACCTCAAGAGGTCTTTCCTACGGATCACACTTCCACGTTTGGAATTAATGGCTGCCCTGATTACAGCACCCCACATGAAGTACGTCCAGTCTTTTATTGATATTGAAGTTCACAAGATTACATGTTGGACAAGCAATTCATCTTCTCTACACCGGATCAGAGACTTGGCATCGCAATGGAATCTATTTGTCTCAAATCGTGTTCAAGAAATCCAGTTCTTATATGAACTGGAGGTATTGTACGAGTGCCAGTAATCCGAGTGATTTGGTCACAAGAGGAGTCACAGCTGAAAATCTAATCAACCAGCAATTATGGTGGCATGGTCCCCAATGGTTACAGCTGACAAATAATAACTGTTTTACATGTTGGAGGAAGGATTCACAAGTTATTGCTCAGTTGTGGTGTAGACGGCAATACATTTTACATACACTTTCTATGAACGTCAAGCTGTTGGAGAAGGATTCACAAGTTATTGCTCAGTCCAATTAAATTGCCACCTGGGCATACTTTTGTTTATTCAAAGTGTACATTCTCGGGAACTTCATGGAGAAATAAGAAATAGCAATGAGGAACATTGAATAAAAAGTCAATCCGCCTTCCATACAATTTATCTACGGCCATGTCTCATAAAAATCACTCAATAAAGGCACCCGCACACAGAGAAAATGGTGCAGCGCTCACCAGTTGTAGTGTAGACTAGAATACATTTTACATACACTTTCTACAAATGTCAAGCTGTTGGTATAATGTGCAGGGCACTATTGAAATATTGTTTGCGTCAAAAGTACATTAATATAATAATATATTCACAAAGCATTCCTCTATAAATGATTTACTAAAAACAAATTATATTAATTTATAGGAAATATTTCATTCAAGCATAAGTTATAATACAAACATGTTTTAATATTTACAAATTGCACTAATATAAACAAAATTACATAAAATAAAAGGTTGAAAAAATACCAGAAAGAGTATTATCATTTATATAAAAGTCAATGTATCATTCAGGGATAATTCCATTGGACACTTTAAATCGCTGGAACAATTCCTAATTTTACATAAAGATTACGCTCACATGAAATTGTCAGCGCACACAGCATATGTCCCATACAATTCTCGTGTTAAAGAGGAGATAACTCAAGTCATCTTAGAAGTGAATGATAATGAATAAAAGGAGAAGAAGGTTTATGTTTTAATATTTAGGAAATGACGAAAAAAATTAAGATAATATCAGGACACCTAATGTAATAAGCGCAGGTGAAAAACGGGGGTTTGATTTGAGTCTTAAACATAAATATATGAAGTACACCAGAAGTATTAAGACTATACTTCAAATCTACCTCAAACTAGGAAATTTCACTCTTTTATTCCTATCTTCACTGGTTTCTCCCATGTCTGAATATCTGGACAATATATTAGAAATTGCGGTATGAGTAATCTAGAGAAATATGACTTGAAGCTCACCAAACCTTTTATCTAAATGGCATCAACGATTATTATAGAAATAAATATATGAACGACATGTTAACAGCTCTCCAAAATAATATACAGTGAAAGGGGTGGCTATGTGCTTAACCTAAGAATAATTGCTTACTAAGAAACCTTATTACATCTATATGCTTTGATTAAATCTTTAATAGGAGCTCGACAGACCGGGCAGTTCAACCCCCTGCGCTGTAAATCTTTTCCACATTTAAAGCAGAGGCAGATATGGCCACACTGGTACAGTACTACATCGGAGAAGTTGTCCACACAAATAACACATTTGTCATCCATGACGGGTCTGCTAGGTGTTGAGACAGGAATTGCTGATGCTCCTTGAGCTGTAAGAGAAGTAAGTAACACATTAGTACATAAGTTCTAATAAGCATGGATAATAACGGTCGGTCTCATTGATGTGCCAATTCTGTACGAGTCAGTCGTCATCAATCCATTGAAACATCAACTCGATATTTTTATAATTTCTATCAAATGTTATTGTAGTGTTTCCCCTCCCCCGCAAACACACAAAAAGAAAAATACATACCATTATTGATGGCAGCAGCGACTTCCTGTCTGATAGCTCTCTGGATGTCTGTTTGTAGTTCAAAACTTAATTTTAACATATTCTTCATCTCCTCCATCTCAGATCGCAGTTTGGACAGTTCTCTACTTAGTTTCAGATTACTCTGAAAATGATATATTCAAAATGCACGTGTAATTTATATAGGTCAAACTCCATACTCGAGGATCGTAGTGAAAGTTGCACCTGGAGCTATGTTAAACAGCATTTGAAACATGAATAGATGCGGTGATCATTTTTGTTCATCCTTATTTAGATAGTTTATGTATGATAAAGGGGACAGCAAGTCAAACAAATTCGGTTGTTGCTGTAAGAATTGAAATTAGAAATGTCAAACAATGTTATTGCAATTTTGGAAAACAATTCATTAAAATGATTAAATGGTAATTAAGGATAAGATTGCTCGGTAAGGATATCATGAGCACGTTCATTCAATGCATTGACCTAATTACTTGGTGATAAGGTTATCATGAACACGTTCATTCAATGCATTGATCTAATTACATGGTGATAAGATTGCGCGTTAAGGTTATCATCAACACGTCCATTCAATGCATTGATCTAATTACATGGTGATAAGATTGCGCGTTAAGGTTATCATCAACACGTTCATTCAATGCATTGATCTAATTACATGGTGATAAGATTGCGCGTTAAGGTTATCATCAACACGTTCATTCAATGCATTGATCTAATTACATGGTGATAAGATTGCGCGTTAAGGTTATCATCAACACGTTCATTCAATGCATTGATCTAATTACATGGTGATAAGATTGCGCGTTAAGGTTATCATCAACACGTTCATTCAATGCATTGATCTAATTACATGGTGATAAGATTGCGCGTTAAGGTTATCATCAACACGTTCATTCAATGCATTGATCTAATTACATGGTGATAAGATTGCGCGTTAAGGTTATCATCAACACGTCCATTCAATGCATTGACCTAATTACTTGGTGATAAGATTGCGCGTTAAGGTTATCATCAACACGTCCATTCAATGCATTGACCTAATTACTTGGTGATAAGATTGCGCGTTAAGGATATCATCAACACGTTCAATGCGCAATGACCTATAAGTATAAGTTTCCAGTGCAAAAATATGAAAATAATTCAACAAGCACATGTATTCAATGACCTACTTACATGATCATAAGGTACAGCTTGAGCTGTGAAGCTGGTAACAGAAATATCATCAGACACGTCATCAGCTGGATTGCCGATTCCCAAAATTCTAAAATCATTTCGTCTGATACCAGTGGGCTCAAGTGATCGGATGATTTCAGCAACTTCGGCTCCGTTTTCAGGAACACGATTCTAAAAATTGAAAAATTGAATTGAAAATATGTCGACAACCGCGAAAATGAAACACTATAATAGACAATCAATACAATCAATGGACTGAAGTGGTTTGGGGCCCGTCTCCCGGGAAACTTGTCTTTAACATACCTCTCTGCAAGTCAATTTAATGCCTGTTTATTTAATATGGAATATTTAAAGATTGTCAGTCTGTAGTAAATGCTATTTCACTCATTTATATATTACTGGTTCCTACGTTTGATTATAATTTAATACTTTGGTAGGGGTGTGGCCTGTAGACTTGGTTTAACCAGTGCTTTTGATAGTTGAGCCACTGCTTAAGAGGTAGGTTTAGGTTATCATAATCCAAAAATTCTCATTATAATAAAAAAAAACCTAGCCACTTAAGATAATTTTGATGCCAAGGACTAACGTGTGGCCTGAAAAGAGAACTTGTCTTTACCTGCATGGTGACTTCTAGAGTTGTTCTGAAAGCACCTTCTAATGTAGACGACACAATCCCCTGATGAACCAACTCTCTAATGTCATCAATCAGGTCGTTTTGATGAGTTTGGGAAATTGAACGAATATCATATATTGGTCTGAAATAATAATAAGACCAGGGTTCTGCTTGGTTCTTCTATTCCAGGCTCTAATAGTTATTTTGATAGTTGTCGGATGGAGTTGTTTACATCATATAACAAAAAATACAAGGGGTATATTATGGTATAACTCACTTCTTTAATAACAAAGCACATAACGTTTCAACACAATTTACACGTGTCGGAAACGTTATGTGCTTTGTTATTAAAGAAGTGAGTTATACAATAATATACCCCTTGTGTTTTTGTTATATCTACTCTCCACTTCTAAATGTCGTTCAAATCTTGTCTACATCAGCCGACAACTTTCAAAATAGCTACCAGAGGCTGCAATACAGGCAAATGTTTTGGACTGGGTTTCGCCTTAGTCTAAAGTCTAAAATATACCCAAGTATGAAAAGAGATTTACTAATTTTTTTTCATAGCATTTGACAATTTGATGATATTCCTATCAGGGTTTCTGATTATATAAACCATAGACATGGTGACACTACCAAGTGTGTGGTCTCAATCCTTTCAATGATTCCGACCACAAAAATTTTACAAAGGTGGATAAAAAACTTTGACTAACGAGTTCATAGCTGATTGAACATCCGCTCTGGTAGCACTAGCCCTCGCCACGGCAGGGGATGAACTTCTTGGAGAAGTATTGTCTCTGTTGGTAGACTGTTGTACTGCTGTGGTTGGCGGTTGTGGTCTAGCTTCTGTCCTTGGTGAGGCTGAGGGACTTTCTTCGTCAGCGGACAAGTATTCTGAAACGTAGGAAAGTAAGGATTACATTTTTAACAATTTGAGATTCAATTTTGTTCATTTCTTATAAAAATTGTCGTATGTATATGCGTTTTTAGGGTATTAAAATTTGAAAGGCATTTCTCTTGGATCAGCTACATACGAAACCATTAGGTCGGGATAGTTTGCTTGACACAATGACAGAGTCATTGTCAGAAAGAATGTTGTCAGAAATGATACGAACCTGCATCGCTGTCATCATCTGAGTTGTCTTCTCTTTCTGAAATAGGTGGTGCACTGTCTCGAGGCTGGGCTCTGCGTCTAGGTTGGGGTACTGGTTGTTGGCGAGGAGCAGTCGTAATGTTACCACGTATGATATTCTCAAGTTGACGTCTGAATTGCTGCGATTGAAGCATCTGAGAAACCCGATGCTGCTCATACAATCCTTGCACCTCGACTACTACGGCTTCTGGACGATGTTCTTCCACATTGTCAACATTGCTTGGGACGTTTTCTGCAGAAGCAGAGGCTTGTATTCGTTTAGCAAAGAATTGATCTACTTGTTCCTTTCGACCTTGACCCGTAACTGGACGGTCGCCATGTTGGATCCTACGAAGCTCGTACATCAGCTCACTAAAATGAAAACACCAATTTGTTTTTCAGCAGACAGGTATTATTAATTTCTTTCTGGGGCTATTTTGGGATTGATTCGCACCATTATAAGGTTACAACACAAATACGACAGAGTCAATCCCAATGCAAAGATTTGTAAGGATCGGCCAACGTCCCCACTCAGACAATGATTAATTAAAGTGGGAGTAGATAATGTGGTGTGTTCGGGTGAGATTACCAAACAGTTAAAATCCGTTTCTACTACTGCATGCATTCGCCAATGTGTTTAACTTGATATCCGAATGCTTTGTTTCGTGTGTCTTCTGTTGGTTATTACACTTAACCATTCATGATCCGAAGAGATTCCTCTTTAAATTGTGTTCGTTGGAATCTTTACCCAATAGCCTTACACGTTGTCTTAAATTATTCATTATGAATCATTTTAAACTCGTGTTAAACAATTCAAGACAATATTTAACAATGCATATCCCAAAAATACCAAAACGAAGTAAGGAAATCTATTATTGAACACTGTATCTGATTGGTTTAATATTAAATAACCAAGAACATGAGATACATAACAATTTCGTCAGATCATAGAAAGCAAGTAGAGTCACCCGCAAATAAAATACGAAAAGAAACTTTCAGATTTGTATCGGGTTATGCTAACAAAATATTTTAATCTTTAAATAGTAATCAATGTATCAATATTGAAGAGTGATATATAAGTAGCGCCGGACAGGGCATGGTTACTCTCCTAAACACTTCTAGACACACTTTTCATTATGATATACTTACTCATGTGAAAAGTTCATTATCAACTACCAATATTTCGCTAAAACTTTGTTTAAGATTTCGGGTTTCGCGGTTCAAATCGTTAGTACTTGGTTTATTTATTCACTTATTCACTGGACACAGTCGCTGTACGGTAGCCAGACCTGAATGTTCGGAGGGACAGGTAATACATCCGGAGGTGCATGGTTATTTGTTTCGGGGTAGGGGGGCAGGGGAGAAATACATTTCTTCCCCCTGTAGCTACTGGCCTGCACAATCTCAATCTCACTGCCACACTGGACGCCGTGCCTCGTCCTTTCGCACCTTTAAAAAATAACTTACCTTCGTGATTTCTCCAAGAATTTTTGCATGGCATTGTCTTCCTCTTCCATTGTATTTTCAGAATTTGTATCAGGGTTTGTTTCAGGGATATTTGCTTCGGCCATTCTGCCCTTTTCCACCAATCTCCTCCTTTTATTGGTCTCTAATTGTGTTTATTTGAAGTTTCAATGTGTAACTTTCTAAATATAGTAAATGACTACATAGATCCTATAAGTATGAGATTACATTCAAGTCGATGGGAGTCAAAAGTTAAAATTTATTCAGAACAGTTTTGACCCGTACCGTGTGTTATGCTCCATTCGTCATTGTTTGTAATCGACAAGGAGATTCTAGGAAAAATTACTATTTTTAGTAAATTTCTCAGAAATTTCATGTCAAGCCTTTAGATTGGCTAAAATAAGGCTATATAAAAGAACGAATGAATGGTTGAATAATCATGAGTTTGTAAATACTCAATATGATATGGTAGTGTAAGATGTTATGGAAGACACTCTCCTACAGACGCATTGGCCTAGGGTTTAAATACAAGACAATGGTAAGATCGATGAAAATCCTTGCTCCCGAAGAGATTTACAGGATAAACAAAAACAAAATAAAGCATTCAGTCCAATATGGTCACTGAAAACTACAGACAACTATACTTGGTGCAATGGCAGTCTCATGTGGTCAGAATGTTCATACTTTAGGAATTTTAAACCTGCTTGAAATAGTCACCATGATTTTTCACATCGATTTGCAACATTCAAACGTCAGTGGTTTTTGCAATACAAGTTTTATGACGGAACTACTAGTACAACTAGTTAAGTTAATAATATCCAAGCTTTGTCATAAGGCGGTTAGTTTTAGTGTAATAGGAAGAACCACAGACGTCTGATTGAAAATTGGAATGTTGCAAATTGATGATATCAGTATTCCCAATATACAAGTTAAGAAAATCTCTTTACAGTCCATTTAAACTTTGAATTCTGAACATAAAACCTAATCATATTTTCAACAAGTCGATTAGCATTAAGTCAGTAGTTTTCAACCTGTTTTTGTATGTGACCCCAAATCGAATCAGCATGAATATGATGTCCCCAAATATCGAATCATATCTATGATTGGATACCAGGCACGTTCTCACATAGTTTGATAGTAATAATTCTCTGAGTACTCCTAGACAATTAATTAAGGATGGGTTTCCTAAATTTTTTAGTATCAAATTAAGCAAACTATTTGATTAATTAGTGTTTCTAATGAATTATCATGTATTCTTAATCATATCATTATTTTATTATTGTATATAATTAAGATTTTTTACCAATCATAAATGTCCATGTATGTACAGTCTGGATAAACAAAAAAAGACTTTTTGACCTTTCTTGATCGGCCACTCATTGGGATTCTGCTGGTAATTCTCTCCTAATTTAGCCAATTATGAATTGATTACGGACATGTGAGACAAACTGGTATTTTTCCAAGTCATTAGAACACCTGTACTTTCTATTCATATAAGTATTAAGAAGGGAACCCAGATTTAAGGCTGTAGTCATCATATGAGATGTTGTATATATTGTAGTTGGAAAGTTTTTATTTTTCACAGCATGTGACTGGCTGTGACTCATCAAATGTCCCCTAAGAAAAGGGGCAAATGTGCACACTTTGGGACATGCCTCTGTGGTTGAAAACCTACCCATTAAGTTATCAGTTATCATAGAAGCTTTCTCGCCATGTTTTTCTTTTAGATAATTAGAAAATAAAGGATATGAAAGATATGACAGTATAACCTATCAGTAGAATTTCTCCTATATTATCAATTTACACTCTAATTAGAAGAAATAATACTCGTATCTAGTACGACTAATGAGCAGGTGCTTTTCATTTTAAATTAAAGTTTTATCATTGTAAATCATTACGATCAATGAAGATGTCTATAATGTTGAGAGCTGCAGGGAATATCGGGTGCATATATTTGGCAGTGGCTCAAATACCATAGGGACATGTTGAACCGGGCCCTGAACCCTAAGGAGTCCCCCATCCCAGGAAAAAAAAAATACCAAAGTTTGTACACGTATCTAAAAGGCTAAGACAAATATAAAAGGGTTAACAACTGATGCTGGAGTTCTACAAAGAGTCATATTAAGTCTCCATTTAAGAAAATGAGGCCCTATGTCAGCCATGACTGTCTATGAGGGACCTAATACATGTAAATTACTAAATATGGGACAATCGAGTACCTGTGTCCTCAATCCTCTACTCAGACTACTCCCACAATCAGACAGACCATTAACAGGCATCCAGGAGAGACAGACACCTTCCGGGTGAAGAGCCCAAACCCATTTTAGTCCACGGGGCCCCAAGTCATCTAGTTCAGCCACTGATCTTTGGAGATCAAGATAAAAAAATTTTTAACGGTAAATTTTTTTCGGTTATTTCCCTTGGGCTGTGCTCTCATTCTAGCTAGGTTTTAATTTGTAAACAGTCTGTAAACCGAAAACAAGGCTTCTCCCTAACGTAAACCATAGCTACCCAATATTCTAATATCAGACAGTCACTATAGTGAGCTAATTTTCTCAACACAACTCATGAACTTGAGTAGATTTTATCATTAACAAATAAATCAAGTGATTATCATTCATTCATTAGTCAAGCACCATGTTTTTAAGCGGAAATGGAATGAAATGAATTGAGTGTTACGCCCTACTTGTCTTTAAGTGGAGAGGATAATATGTTTTTAACGCAAACAACGCTTTAATACCCAGCCAAATTTTCAATTAAAAAGTCTATCATCTATGTTCTGATATAACAAGTGAAGATGAGCCGTTGGTTCACTATAAGAAAGCTGACATGCGATTTGGAACACTGTTGAATCAAAACGATTTGGATAATTTAGTGAAAGATGGCTTATCTAAGAAAAGTGAAAGTAAATCAAACTGGACCGTGAATCATTTTCAATAATGGAGGGCACACAGAGAGGGACTAAATGTACAGCATTGTGCCATCCTAAACTTATCAAATGATAACTTAATATGTTCCTTGGATATTTTATAGCAGAAATGAAAAAGGTGGTGATTTAAAACCAAATATATTGTATGATATGAAATCATTATTTCAATCCAATATCATATACGCCAAAATGGTTGATTTCTTACATTGATGGATAATGGTGATTTTCGTGAAACGAAGGCTGTATTGGATGCAAAAATGAGAGATGTTTTATTTGTCCCTAAACAAATGTACTGATATTGTTTTTAAAGGGATTGTTAAGGGTTTTCAAGTCTTAGTATCGGGTACACTTGTACACATACATACGAATAGACTAGAAAACCTCTTACAACCTATCTTTGATGCTCTTGAACGAGTCGGATCAATTTGTTAGTCTGAAAAATATTTTGTATAATATTTACAAGCAAGCTATTTAATCGAAGACGAATGGTGGAACACATGTAATCTTGACGAGCAGTTCAAGGTTTATATTTATTTTGAATGAAAATAATAATAAAACTATTTAAAGCAACATCAATATTTCTTTAATGAAACTGTTTATTCGTCTATCTAATGAATGATGGGATTTACACGTGTTCAGGTGAGAATGAGGGGGTCAAAGGGTGAAAATAAACAAGATATACCAATTTCAATAATCCAGAATCTATTTTCTCCAAATGTCAAGGAGGTTCCAATCAAACCAGTCGAACACTTGAAATCATAATCTTTATCAGATATACCTGATGGTGTTACATCATCAGAATTTGTTATGTTCTGGCCAGATGGACACTATTCAACCAATTTCAATAAAATTGAGAATAATACATAAAGAATACAGCGTCAAACATAATAGAACGTGCCATTATTTCTAAAAAAGGAATTGGTGAAATGGGAAGGGGCGAAGTGGAAAGGGGGGAAGTGGAAAGGGGCTAAATGGGTAAGGGGAGAACTAAGAAAGGGACAAACTGGGAAGGGGCAATATGGGAAAACGGCGAAAAGGGAATATTATAGGAACGAATTATGAAGGGGCGAAATGGGAAGGGGCGATGTTGGAACACACTAATGGAAACGGTATCACAGGCATGGAAAGTTTAGTTATACAGCATGTAGCGTCGCCAGCATCTTGGAACTGGGAGGCAGATAGACTTAAGTTGTGAATCAAAATGCGGAAGCGTTGTGCGTTGTGGAAGCGTCACGAGCTCAAGCCTCTCATTTAGGGTGTGTGGGATTCCCTTCCACTCCCCCCCCCTATCTTAGTACCTTCCCCTGTTGTCCCTTGTTACTAAGTAACTAGCCCACACATGGTATTACTTTTCATGTACCCGATAGGTGACAACAAGGCGATATAAGATCTAACAATTGGACTCCTAATATATATTTAAGCGGGCATCTTTCCACCTGTACTTTAATTAATTTTTCATTCAGGTAGACTTATCAATTATAACAATGCTACACGACTCGTTACAGGTGTATTGTAAATATTGACATGGATGTTATCGTATAGCCTGATAAAGCTCTGTACACACTGCCACCATTTTTAACAATGGCGGATTGGCGATGGCTCCAGGTATTTTTTAAACTGATGGTGCAAAAGCACGACCAAACCTCTTCTGTCCCAGCCCCAGTTTACAGATTTACTGTTGGGCCGCTAATCGGTACCTCTGCTATTGCAGTCAAGGCATATGATGAAGTTCGTAATAGCTTAACATGACTTGATGCCCCCGATTTCACCGGTGATTTGTATCCTTTTTTAACCCAAACTTCAGGTTATTACCGATAGTAAAATATATATTAGATACATCATGATAAACATGTTTAATTCATAGAATTTTCCTGTTAGGGTATTTCTGAATAACCATCTTTTTATTCACAGACTTTTTCTGCTAAGGTATCAACCATTTCGTAAGGATTCTTCATGTTTTCAGGTATCTGATCGAGGGTAACGTTAAATAAATAACAATACCCATCTCCACTCCTATCATGACTTAATGTTACACATTCAATCCTCTCGGTACACCAATTTATACATTCGTCCCGAAATGAATCCAATGACACGAAGATGATTGGTTCTGGATAAAATTCACATCTTCTCCTGCCTTCTAGATATCCAGCAGTACAGTTGCTATCATTTTTACACTTTTCATCACAATTCTCCTGAACAGATAATATGATAGTCTTAAACGGCCTGGTTCCTAAAGTTGTCTCATTTGAGTACTTAAACTTGTACTTATATTCTGAAATATAAATTAGTTTTAGATAAATTCTATTGAGTAATACGGTGGCTCACATACGACATTTTCTACTTTTTATTTTGAATTAAAAACTTTTTTTTTACTTGGTGAAAATATTTTGAATTAAAAACTAATAACTAATATAAAAACCTAATGTTCACCTATTTTAAAATAATTATCACCTAGGTGACAATTAGAGTATTTAATTCAAAATTACAGGAATTATCACCTAATTTTCACCTCGATGGAAATAATTATCACCTAGGTGAAAATTAATGTTTTTAATTTAAAATTAAAAGTGAAATATGTCGTATGTGAGCCACCGAGTAAAGAATATTTACAACTAATAAGTCAAATTATCACACTATGTTTTAATAATTTTATAAAGTGTACGCCAAACCAGGGTATATTTTGAAAAACAGTTCAAGAAATTTAATACAAGTTGGATCAAAATTAGAGATCTGCTGAATCGACAGTCTAGATCTGAAACAGCATCCTATCTAAAGCTGTGTTATTCCGCAAGGGATCTTTGCAGATAGATAACCAGTTCTCAGTATCATAGATTTATTGAGAAGAAAACGAGGTAAAAAGCTGAAACAAACATAAAACACAATGTTACACATACTGACAATACAAAGGCTAAACAGTTCTCATATTGACTCAATATAACGGTAAGTTATGCAATGAAAACACTCAAAATATAGCGATGTTTACATAAAATACTTGCTCAGACTGTCTCTCCAAAAACCATCAAAGTGCACTTTATCGCAGAAATATCAATGCATAATACAAATATAATCATTATAGAACACAATCCTACTCACACTTTGGTTTACCAACGATGGATGACATAGAAAAAAGGTGGATTGAATCCAAAACAATAAAAGCAACAACAGTCTGATTTCTACCGAAAATAGAAAGTGAAAATGAAAGTAGACTAAATATTGATCTTTTATCCGAAACGAAATTTACCAAAATAAGTTTGAAAACGATAATTAACTATAACAATGTTACAGAAATATATTGAAAGTTGATAAGCATGTGATAATATTATATAATAACAGAAACATAAATAAGGAGACGGCATATGTGTAAAGAGACTTTGTAAATATATGAAATGAAATGAATGGAGTTTTACGTCCTACTTTTCTGCACCATATGGGCTAATGAAGACGGGCAACGTCATTTCCAATTGTCAAGGAATCTTTAACGTGCACAGCCTGTAGCACACGGGGCCTCGGTTTATTGTCCCATCCGAACGACGAAACGCGTTTTCCATGTCAGCCCCTCTTACCTGCATCGCTGACAGGGGGAAACCGTGTTGATAAAAAGGCTTTGTAAAGACGTTACTGTAAATCAATTCTTGAACCGTTAGAGGGATATCTTGGCTAATCTGGTTTTTTAGAAAAAACATGAATTTGATTGTCAAGGAAGCAATATTAAAATAATATTATATTTTACCTTCGCACGTTGTTTTATTAATCCAATCTCCATTTTCTCCACATGTCAATGTTCCAATCAAACCATTTTTGGCGAAACCAGTGGAACATTTAAAATTATAATCTTTACCAGATACACCTGATGGTGTTACATCATCAGAATTTGTTATGTTCTGGCCGGATGGACACTCTACAACCAATTTCAATAAAATTTAGAATAATACATAAAAACTAAAGCGTCAAACATAATAGAATGTGCCATTATTTCTAAAAAAGGAATTGGTGAAATGGGAAGGGGCGAAGCTGAAAAGGGAGGAAGTGGAAAGGGGCTAAATGGGAAAGCGGAGAAATAAGAAAGGTACAAACTGGGAAGGAAGCGTCAAGAGAAATAAAAAAAATAACAACTTTATACTGAATAACAAGGATATTTGTCACATTTTTTTCAGAATTCAGTCAACCAGACACAGTTCTTCTCTGAGTTCTAGTTTCCAGTAAGCTTGTATCTTATGATTAAGCGAAGTTAATTTAAAGGGGCAATCCGCTTTCTTTGGTAAAATACTTTCATTATCAAAAACGTCATAACTTATATCTGAAAATATTTCTAAAATATGCTATTTATATCTACGGGATCAAACTGAATTTGTTTATTATATTGTTAATTAAGCAATTTGACCGAGTTTCGGTGATTGATTTTATAATGGCTCGTTATATTTAGTTGAAATCTTTAGAAAACGTAAGAGACATATTTCTCTAAAATACGGCGTTTATTTTACTCAAATCGTACAGTAGTTTTCTAACAGCTTGCAAAAACATAACGAATTTTAAAAGTTACGTAACCTTTTACAAGCTTTGGTGTACAAAAATTAACGTTTGAATTTTTTGTAGTTAAAAATTTTAGATACGTTATAGGATACATTTCTATGGATTTTGGTTTATAGTTTTCACAAATTTGAGCCAAAAACAAAACAAAACAAAAAAGCGGAATGATCTTAAAGTAATTGAGGATTTACCAGTTGGTACGTTACGTTGACATGATGGTTCCAAACACCATTCTCCTTTTTTACAGCTAGTTTGGACTAGTAATTGGTAACCTTTTCGGCATTTAAAACGTTTATTTTCCTCACAGCTATCTCTTTGTATCCATTCAGCGTTCTCAATCAGATCATACTTTTTACAAACTACAAGTAATAATATTATATATTAAAGTGTTAAAGCAATTTAATCTTGTAAATATCGGCTTCGCTATCAGATTATGGTAGTGCTGAATTTCGGCTACCTGTAATATTTATATCTTTTGGTGTTTATGCAATGCTCCCATGATGTTATGCCATGGTGGTCGTACTGAAACAGTTTTTTACTGTAGATCAGTGCTTCTCAACCCTCATGACCAAATCGATCCCCCTCTCCCATTTTTTCTCCGCCATTCAACCCTAAAGCATCAAATAACTTTAAGAATATTACACCCCCTCCCAAACTCCATCCCCCATTCCCTCTCATTCCAAATTTTACTCCGACTGTCTAGAATTTCAAATTCATCCCTGCTGTAGATGTTGTTCTAATACTTACCGGGTTTTCCCCAAAACTTTTTCATGATATTGGGTTGGCGTCGAGGACTGGCCAGTGTTAAGGATCCAGTCCATAACACGACCACTACTAGCATCAGATTAGCAATACACATCATTTGTCTTGATGATTCAGGTTTGTGATTAACAGTGATTCGTGTGAGTATATATAGAAGATCAGAAGAAAGCTTGGGTTGATTTATCAGATTGAACGGAAACCGATATTTTTTTAATAGTTCTGTCCTGGTGTATTACTAACATCTGGCAACTAGAATGTTCATGAACACACTTTTCTCCTAATAAAGAATAGGTTTATAACATCGATCGCTCGAAAACAGGTATTCTTGTTAACATTTTTAAATATCAAATTTTATCTCAAACACGTTATGTGATGAAATCGATTATTGTCGCTTAAAGTGGGCGGAGCTTAGCAGATCTCCTCCTCTGCAAACTTTTTTATGTGAAGGTAACTGATGGAAACAATCGCTTCATCATTTCATTTTGTAGAAATATTTGTTACTATCTTATTGGCGACGAATGTCTGATTAATGTAATTTTGAGATTTGTTGTTTATACAAGTAAAGGTTCTCTGAATTTTGTCATAAACCATGGTTCTCGCCTTTTTGTCGTGCACGATGAAGTGTTGATAAGACTACCCGGCAGTCATTGTTTCCAAAATTAGGTCAAATTGATTTCGGCAAACGAAATGATGAGTGTGCTAAAACGATTACTTGCTGGGGAACAGATCTGTTAAGCTCCGCCTACTTTAAATGACAGGGGAGTGTCTCTACCTTAACAATAATCTATTTCATCACTTATAGGACCCACGCAATTAATATTGTATTTAGAAATCGTCTTTCTCCCTCCTTTAGAAATCCTCTTTCTCCCTCTCTCTTGGGGGTTTTACATGCCTATTTTTGACTAATTTTTGGTGTAGATTTGAAATTTGCATTTTCTTTCAGATTTTGTGAGATAGATTTTCATGCGGAATGATAAATCTAAAAATAGTTGTTTAGTGTGCAGTGACAGTCAAGCAGATGTTGATAAAATGTAGTGGTCTACTTTCAGTTTGGCTAGCTCAAGATTTTCATGGTCATTATATATTGTATTTTTGTCCAGAAACTAAGTATTGGCCAGGCTTTCATGTGACATGTTGGAAAGTTTTCAACGAGATTTATGGAAAAAGTTATAAAAGGCTGAAGTTTGAGATTTAACATGGAAACAGATGGCACAATAATTACCGGTCTGAGTCCTTAACATGTATGAAATAACATTTATTATTTCAGAGTAAGCAAATAAAACAATAATTACTTATATTCTTTTTCTATATTCTATCCTGATGTACTTCCGACGACAACTGGTTACTAGAATTTGAAAAACAACGTGGGTTATTTTAATAATTCGATTGAACGGAAACCGAAAACATGGTATTTGATATTTTTTGAATTAATTGTTTCCCGACGACAATAACTAGAAATTTATTCTGATCCAGAGAGTAATATATCTAGAGGGTATGGTCTTTCTTTAGTTGCCGTAATGAAATCGGTCGGTCGTCTGAATATTTTCATGGGGACAATCCATTTTTTGGACTTGCCCACCCCCACTATAGTAGCTATAAAATGAGCCCGAATACCTTGACATTGTTTCCAACAGTTATTAGATAATCTAACCAAAACAAACCAACGACTACCATTCGACTACCAATCAACAAGAAATACCATGATCAGAACTAGTTTGGAGGAATGAAGTGGATCGAGTAACTCACGCCACACCATCCAGGGCCGAGTTTCACCGCCATGTCATTCGACCCGACCAGATCTAACGAAGAATCAACAACCAAACCAACACCACAGAATCAACCAATTTGAACCAATCCAACTACCAACTACTACGACTACCAACAACTACCTAACTCGCTGGAAGCGAACGTTAACTTGTCACCTACCTACCTACCTTGACATTGTGATGATGACCAATCAATGTGTCAAAGTAAAGACAATATACGCCTGGCATATACAAAATATAGTGGAGACAGCGTTACAGGCATAAACATTTTAATCATACAACCTGTAGCGGCGCCAGCCTCTTGGAAATGGGAAGGCAGATAGACTTAAGGAAGAGACGATTGTCGGTGCTAAGATGCAGTTGGGTTGTGGAAACGTCATAGGCTCAAATCTCTAATGTGGGGTCTGCGGGATTTTCCTCCACTAGAAAATTTTGTGCATTGTGTAACACATTTCGGGTCAAAAAAGTATAAAAATCATATTTAAGTTTCCCCTCTCCACCACCCCACGTGCCCTCAATGGCAAAGCCACTCTATACTACGGTGGCTCATATTTCACTTTTTATTTTAAATATATATTAACTTGGTCAATAAGAACCCACCCAGTGCTATAACTATACAATAGTTTACAATCCAATAAATCCAAAACTATGTAATTATCCTTAAAACTTTTAAATAATTGAAAGATGCTAAGAAGGTTTTTTTTTCAATAATGACATCGTTTTCATTATTTGGATTTATCGTATTATGCAGAAATGCTGTTGTATAGATGTGACAGTGGGAGTCCACTAATGAAAACTCTTATTGACCAAGTTTGAGAAGTTAAATTTTATGAGCATTCTAATAGATAGTATCCCTTTAACATTTTACAAGGTATATTTTAATGGATAGAATAAAAAAATGTAGAATTCGGTCGGTGCGTGCTGTTACTATGTAGTGTGCATGTACGTATTTTGACTAGTAATTGGGAAATACAGTGTTTGGTATAGGGGATATTGTATTACTTTGTGTTACTATATATAAAATCTATTATTACATGTACTGTATCTTCACAGTATATTACCTTTCCTGTCTTACACACAAAACACCACAAATATCAGACCACTTTTAATTTCTCCGTCCTCACATTTCCGGTTAAAATAGAAGAAGATCTCATGCGGGAATATCAAGTGAAAATTACGGACATTAAAAAATTGTCCACAATTTATTTTTCTTCAGGGATCATTTATATCTTTATCATTATTCAAAAACTATCAGTGCTGCCTTGAAGTTGGTATTCAAATATACAATAGGCAAATTTGTGCAACAGCTTTTTGATATTTGTGGCAGGGTTTCTCAACTAGTTTGCTTGCATTCGGCAGCCCCACGTACTTGCTGTGAATTCGGCTATGCATTCGTCAAATCTCAGTAGTTTCC